GTTGATTAGTTCCCTGCTCCTCCTGCTCCTCCTATCTCTAGTCTACCTTGATCTACCTTGATCAGTTCCTCCTCCTATACCTAGTCTACCTTGAAGTTGATTAGTTCCCTGCTCCTCCTCCTCCTATCCCTAGTCTACCTTGAGGTTGATTAGCACCCTGCTCCTCCTGCCCTCCTGCTCCTCCTCCTATACCAGGACTACCACGGAACACCGGCCGTTCTGTCTGAAGTCGGTCAGCTAGAAGCTGGAAAGATAAACAGGTTCTACAAAATAATATTTTTATATATATTTGTACCTTAAGTTATTTTTGCTCTAATTTTCCTTAAAGGTACTGTCAGTGTAATTTTTCATAAAGTTTTTGATTGATCAAGGATTAATTAGAAATCCATTTAAAAGTGGATTTCAGATTTATGCCGCAGAGACAATGAAGGGAATTGTAAGAATTAAACACGCTTAATGAGTGAAAACCACTTTAATTGAATACACTTCTAATTTTTTAAAGGTACCTTTGAAATTATGAAATGCCACTCTTAAAATGGAGGGTCTATTAAAGTTAAGTCTACAATACCTTTAAGGAACCCGTTTGGAAGTGAATTGTTTTTGTTTGTTACAAAGATTTAGCCATATCATTAGACTTGCATAAATATGTTTCGGATAAAAATATATTCCTTGTGATCTCTAAGCACTCATTGAGTAGACTACCAAAATTGTAAATCAGATGTTCCACAATTTTCTGCCTCACAATATCCTGAAATAAACAGGGTCATAAAACATAAACCACAAATTCTTGGTTCTTCGTGCCCCACTGACCTGAAGAATGCCTGGAACTCCGCACACAAACAACTCCTCCAACCTCTTGAACAGGTTGTCAGGGCTCACATCCTTCATCAACATGGACTTGGTCTCGTAGGCCCGCAGGTGGAATATAACTCCAGTTTCATCCTAAACCATAAGATACAGTGACACTATCCAGTTCAACCAAACACAGTTAAACATAACACTATAATCCAAAGATAGTTAAACCAGAGACGGATAAACCAAAGACAATTAAATATTAAATTATAGACGGAAAATCCAAAGAAATATAAGCCAAAGACAATTAAACAAAAAACACTTAGTTAAACCAAAGAGAGTAAAACCAAGGACTTTAAAACCAGATAATTAACCAAAAAACAACAAGCCAAAGGCCCAATTTAGACAGTTAAACCAAAGACAATTAATCAAAGATTTTTAAACCCAAGGCAGTTAAACCAAAGACAGTCTAGCTAAAGACAAACATTTAGTTTACTTTCTTGGACTTTGTTGTATTATCTATAATCAGAAAAAGTGGGTTGAAAAACTCAAAAAAGAAATATTCAAACAATTAATATTTTGACTTTAACATGTTTATATTAAAATTATTTTTTAAAAAAGATTAGAAAATAGAAGTTTGTCAAACTAACCTTGAGAAGTTGAATATAGGAGGAAAGACTAAGATCCTCCAAACTCCTCAACTGAAAATACTTTATCGGAGGCATCCCTGGAATCAGGAAGAATTTAATACTCTCCAGGTACCCCTGGAGACTGGAGACCCCCTGGCAGTCTCAAACTGACCCTAATCTCATAATATTGATCTGGAAGAGAGAGAGAGATCATGTTTAAGAGCAGGTACAAGATATTTACTTAAATCAGTAAGTTACACTTACAATCTGATTACAATGTGACATGAATAATTTACAACATATAAAATTTATAAAACAAGAATATCTAATTATTAAAAAAATATCAATCGAGGATAATCAAGAATAATCAAGAATAATCAGAAGAATATCAAAATAATTGAAAAATGCTAAAATATAAAATAAAATGAAAAAATTATGAAAAATTATTTTCAAAAAGGGAGATAAGAAAAAAAGAAAAAACAATAAAAAGAATTATTGAGTAATTAAAGGGACCGTTCACTTATTTGGGTAATTTCAGGGTAAACTAAACAGCCTATTCGCTCTTGATTGGTAATAGTCTTACTTTTCGAAGACAACTGTGGCCGGAGAAAAAGCCGATTTTTCGTTCAGAATTGGAGCGGAAAGAAACGGTCCCGCTCTATAGACACTATTTGACGTTTTTTCAGTAACAGCAGCCCAATAAATTTTAAATTTATCATATTTTAATGTCATCATGTGCTCGTTGTTATATACTAAAATATGAAAACTTTTGACATTTGAATTAGCAAGAAATTTACGTTTTTCGTATTAAAACATTTAAAAAGTGTGTACAAAGACGACGTCTCTACGACAATCAATTAATCATTACTCGTATTATGGTTCGTAGATTTTGTAGATTTTTTTTCCCGTATGTGCACAACTTTACATTTGTCATGCCGCATTCAATTCAGCTCTTTACACAGGCAATACACAATTTTGAATGCGATAAAATAGTGTTATTTTAGAAATAGAAAGTTAAAAAACAACAAAAATAAAAAATAATGACATTTACAATTAACGATTAGTTTAATTTTGATCCACACCATATTGATAAAAACATCAATACAGTGTCTATAGAGAGGACCCGTCCTTTTCCGCTTTAATTCTGAACGAAAAATCGGCTTTTTCTCCGGCCACACTTGTCTTTAAAAAGTAAGACTATTATAAATCAACAGCAAATAGGCTGTTCAGTTTACCCTGAAATTACCCAAATAAGTGAACGGTCCCTTTAAATAAACAGAAGAATTTTACCATTTACCATGGGGAAAATATTTGATAGGGGAAAAGTGGAGAAAAAACTAAGAAAGTTTACAAGGTTAAAATCTTGAATGAAAAATACTTTCAAGATGCTGGTAAACAGATAAAATTAGAAACTTATCTTATCACATATTGTACATTTTACAAAAATGTGAACTGTTCAAATGGTTCAATTTAAATTCTAAATTTTAGAAAATCAAAAGTGAACAAAAATTTCAAATCCATTTTCTATAAAATAAACAAGAATTTTTTACTAATTTAGTACCTTTAGGATATTAATAAAACTAATTTTTTAAGATGTTAAAATTAATATGTCAACAACTTATTTTAGGCTATGGCGAGATGCAAAATGGTTTCAAGGCTACTGCAAATATTGCAGTTTTTAAACTGTTTTTGTTCATGGCAGAGGCAGGTCATGTAATGCTTTGTTAAGATTATGTAAGCCTGGTCAGGTTAAGTTTATATAAATGCATAAAATCCTTTGAGCAAAAATTTCATGTACTAATTCATGTACAGTGTACATAGCTGCACTGCTTTACAGTGTACAGTGTACATAGCTGCACTATAAAGTGTACAATGTACATATTAGATTATCGTATTCCTAGTAAGTCAAGATGTACAAGTACTTCATCAAGAAAGTCAGTGCTGAACATTTCTCCCGAAAACTCCGTTCTAAAAATAAACCAATATGAAAAATGAAAGCATGTAATTAAATATAAATGAGATGAATCTTTAAAAAACTGGAATCCTATTTACCTATGAGGAATAGATCCCCAAATAATGTCTCCGGCCTGGCTCACGGTAAATGTATGCCCGGCGTTAAATGCCTTCTCTAGAAGGGCGAGCACCCGCCGACCCGCCTCGGTATCTGGTAGAAAGGCGGTTCTAGGGAACCCAATGGAGATGTAAGGTTTCCCTGAATACGAGAAGCATCATGAATTGCTTGTTAGATATCAACATCAACATCAACATCAACGTCAACGTCAACGTCAACATCAACGTCAACGTCAACTNTATCTATCTATCTATCTATCTATCTATCTATCTATCTATCTGCCCCTCCCTGCAACTCTTTGGAGTACATAATACATTGAATTTATCTAGAAATCTCAAATGTTGGAAACAATTAGTTTTCTTCTTTTATTTATTAGTTGTAATATCAAGTAACTTTCTAATAATATAATGACATGACTGATTGAGAAGGGTGTCCTTACAATCTTTATATAGAGTAACAATGGAGAAAAAATCTGAAATTAATTGTAGCATAATATTACGTCTACAGTTCTGTTCTGCTAGGTTGGTGGTGTACCTGGAAGCCGGGTAACCCTTTAGGAATAACCTTGTAGGACATAATCCCGGTTTCAGGTTGATCTCCAAACTTATCTCCTAAAATCTGGCCGCAGGTCGGACACTGTATATATGTACATCCGGAGTCAGGATTCTGATTATCTAAATATTACAAAATTAAGAGATTTAATTGCGTTTAAAAAATATAATAAAATTAAAAAATTCATTTAGTTAGGAAAGTTATCTTTTCCAATCAGGAAAATAGAAAAGTGGATGTTAGAATATCTCGATAGCAGTGCTTAGGATCTATTTGATTTTGATGCGGATCCGGATCCTGAATCAGCACTGGAAAAAATGAATCCGGAACAGAAGAAGAATTTATAAAAAAAATTTCGCTAACTTTTATGATAAAACTTTATAAACCTTATGGAGATGATGAAAATTTTTAATAATCTCAACTGTTCAGATTGGATTTTAAGAGCAACGTTTTTTTGTCGATTTTTGTTGATATGTTGACCCTCGGATCCGCATATTTTTGCGGGTTCGGATCCAGAAAGCCAAAATGTTTCGGATCCAACGGATTCGGATCCGGATCCTAAGCCTGTAAGCGATGCTCAATAGTTAGGAAAGTTATCTTTTTCAATCAGGAAAATAGAAAAGTGGATGTTAGAATATCTCTATAGCAGTGCTTAGGATCTATTTGATTTTGATGCGGATCCGGATCCTGAATCAGCACTGGAAAAAATGAATCCGGAACAGAAGAAGAATTTATAAAAAAAATTTCGCTAACTTTTATGATAAAACTTTATAAACCTTATGGAGATGATGAAAATTTTTAATAATCTCAACTGTTCAGATTGGATTTTAAGAGAACGTTTTTTTGTCGATTTTTGTTGATATGTTGACCCTCGGATCCGCATATTTTTGCGGGTCCGGATCCAGAAAGCCAAAATGTTTCGGATCCAACGGATTCGGATCCGGATCCTAAGCCTGTAAGCGATGCTCAATAATCAATTGGATATTTAAATTATCATGCTTATAAATAATGGAGCTAAAAAGAAATGAAATAAATTCTGGATGAAAACGTCTCAATATTTGATGAATCTACTAGTTTACCTGTTAAAATTACTATGCATGAGAAATGGAACTTGTGTCTACACTTCTCTAAAGCTACAACGGAGGTATCGGAATTCTCTTTAGACGACCTGGGCGCAACAGAAAAAAATATTAGAGCTGAAATGTTAGAAAGAGGTGGGGAGGGGAGGGGGGGGCAATTAAGAGGAAGTTATAAATTTTTAAATAAATTTTATTCCTATTCCCCCCCCCCCAAAAAAAAAACAGAAAAGGGAAAAAAACTTTGGGGGATCAAAAGTGCATAGGAATGGGGCGGGGAGGGGGATAGTGAGAAGTGATATTAATAAAATTCCTATTTTTATTATAATTTTTCTCTTATCCCTAGCATACTGAGAGGGAGTACAGAGACTGTTCCTACAGATGAGACAGAACTCACTAGGTTTACACGGATCAATCACAAACTCAGATAAACTAAAAACCATTATATTCAATATTCATTGAGAGCCTAAAACTTCTGATTGGGACAGATCTCAGTATCCAAAGAATAAACTTTTAAGATGAAAGATTTAATTTGAACTTCAAAGATTTAAGAATATATGGTTTTCCTGGTGACCAGTTTTTCCACATGTCCATGAGACGTATTGAGAGGTTCCGATTCAGCTCTTTCATGATTATGCAGTATGGGCGGGCCACTGGTCTGCTGGGTGTTCGGGCAACTTTTTTGATGGCTGGGTGGGCCATTGTTTTGATGGATGGGCGGGCAATTGCTATGGTGGGAGGGCGGAGAGCTGGATGGATGGAGAAGAGTCCGAGGAGCTGGAATTGGTTTCTTACCATACCCTCCTGTATAATTTGTAATAAAAATATAATTGTGACTTGTATGAATTAGATATCAATTTTTTTGTTTCTTTTAAAATGATTAGTTTTATTTCTGGTTTCTGTGCAAAAATGACTTGCGAATTTCTTGCTTAAAAAAAGAAGCATCAGAGAAACTCAAAGAAACACTTTTCGAGTTAAAAAAACGACTGTATTTTCCATATTTTTGATTCGGTAAAGGTTTCAAGGGTACCGTTGTATTCGGGCAATGCCGTCTTAGCATAGAGGGTCATTTGAAATTACGCTTACAGTCCCTTTAATAGTCCAAAAATCAAGCTGTTTAATGACTTCTCAGCACTGACCAGCATGAGTGCTTTAAAAAAAATGTTTTTTATTTAATAACAAACTTTATAAGAGCAGGGGATTTTTTTTCTTTGGCTGTTTTATCTTCTTTATATCTGATCATACATCTGTTTTCTTCTCTTTTAGATCTACGCATTCTAGTCTCTTGTAAACAAGAGAAAATCCATTTTGACACATATTTCTGATTCATAATATTTTTTAATTTGAAATCTTACCGCCAGAAATATCAAATTAAGTATAATAGAAAGCTACTGTTTTGTTTTGGTTAATTTTTGGCGCTACCCGGATCCATATCAACGTTTCCTGATACGGATCCGGATCCGACCAAATGATACGGATCCGACCGGATCCGGATCCGGATCCGAAACGCTGCTAGATGGACACTGCTTGAAGAAAAACTTAGAATTCTTAAAACTTCATAAATAATGAATATGGATTTGATCTAATTGAATCAAAATCTCAATGATTGAGTTAATTTTAAAGTTATCAACCAAAATTCTTAACCAATGTTTTGGGCAGAATTGTGATTTTATTAAATGAACAGAACGAGTTAAAATTTTCTTTCCCGAGAGAAACTTTCTGATTTATGCTACCGAGACAATAAAAAAAAATTGTCCGAATTTTTCACTTTTAAGGGATATATCTTCCTTATTGTAACACACTAAACCAATAGTTTGGGCAGATTTACGATTTTTTTTTTTAAATGAACAGAACGAGTCAATCTCTTCATGATATAACTTTTAAGATATGACAAATGACTGATCGGTTAAGTTTAGTCAATATCGCATTAGTCAACAGTCAACACTGAGAGAGGGATCGGAAACCTCTCTTCTCTAACAGGAAATGAATTTCACTCATTTCATAGAATTATCAAAAATGATTGAAATCTAGTTACCCTGTGATAAGAGGGTGGGTGAGATGACCCTATTACTGGATCTGCTACTGCTTAAGGACTGGTAGGATAAGGACATTCCCCTGGAACTCTGGAGAAGAGGTTTCTCTGGGGATCCTGAACAGAATATCTGGTACAACCTACTTTAGTTTACAGTTTATACACAAACATGGGAAAACCAAACTTGTTTGAATCATTTAAGTATTTAAAAAACTGTAGATAANGCGGCTTAAATTTAAACCGCCGCTCAAATTCTTTAAATTCGGCCACAGGTTACAGAAACCAAGAGATAAAACAAGGGAAGGGGATAGGAACTAGAGGAATTGAACCAGGGGGTACAGAAACCAAGGGATGGGGACTCCAGGTAATGAGCAAGGAACAAGGGATAGCAAAAAGGGGAAACGAACCAAGAGATAGGAAAAAGGGTTGGAAACCAGAAGTTTAAGACCTAGGTTCGGGAAATGAGCTGATTGAGATATTAAAGACGAATAATGGACAAAAAATTAAACTTATTAAGATCAAATAAGAAGAAAAGATTATTAAGACTGACAAATAAAAGGAAAAGATGATTGTCAAATTGATGAAACTGACGACAGACAAATAATGAAACTTTTTAACTGACGAAGAATGAAAACTACCAATGAATGATAAGTAACAAAAACTAAACCATTGAAATTCTGAAAACATAAAATTTAAAAAAAAGGTTCATAAGAAAAATAATAAATCCTTGATTCCTAACCTCCGTATCTATCGGAGGACCCGAGAGATTGCTGTGATCCAAGGTTAAACTTCGGAGGCAGAGGTAGAGGATTCATGCTCTGAGACAGATTAATATATTTATATTTTACAATTAAATGTGTAGTTTCTCCCATACCAAATATTTTATATACATGAATAGGATGTATTCGTTGATTTATATCTAAACTACTTTTCCCTTTCTTAAAAACATTTTATCTTTTTCTTTAATTAAATTATACATCATCTCTTAAAAAAGTGAAAAGGAAAAAAACCGAAAACTAATGTATTTTTAAATATTTATTTTCCTCCGTGAAAGTTGGATCGTAGGCGCTGACAGATCTATCGTCGTCGTCGATATAATGGTAACGATGTTTCCGACGTCGGTGCTCGTCAATATCGTCTGATAACTGGCGTTGATTCACATAAAGTTCTCGTTCAAACGATTCCTGGAATACAAAAATTGAAATCTTTAAAAAGTTGTGTTTATAAAAATCTGTAACTTTTAAATCTGTATTTAGGTTTTAATGGTCTGAAATTGGATTGTCTTTGTCTGTAATTAAATTTTATTGGACTGTCATTGAATTGTATTGGTCTGTATTTGGATTGTCTTTGTCTGTAATTGAATTTTATTTCTCTGTAATTGGATAGTATTGGACTATAATAGACTGTAATTGGAATGTAATTGTATTGTATTGGTCTGTAATTGGATTGCATTAGTCTGCAATTGTATTGTTTTGGTCTGTAATTGGATTGTATTGGTCTATTTTTGGATTGTATTGAACTGTAATTGGATTGTATTGGTCTATTATTGGATTGTATTGAACTGTATTTGGATTATATTGGACTGTAATTGGATTGTTTTGGTCTGTAATTGGATTGTATTGGTCTGTAATTGGATTGTATTGGTCTGTAATTGGATTTTATTGGTCTGTAATTGGATTGTATTGGACTGTAATAGACTGTAATTAGAATGTACTGGACTCTTATTGGACTGTATGTAATTGGAATGTATTGGAATCTTATTGGACTGTATGTAATTGGAATGTAATTGGACTCTTATTGGACTGTATGTAATTGGACAATAATCGAACTGTAATTGGATCGTATTGGTCAGTAATTTGGGTTACCTGTAATTCTGTTAAATCTTGACTGTAAGGACGAACAGTTCCTCTAGCTACTCCTGATCTTGTATTAATAACATCACTATTACTGTGCTGATGGTTGGATCCTGAAACAGGGCGGTTGGAAGATATTTACCAGTATGAGGACGGATGAAAGATATTTACCAGTATGAGGACGGTTGAAGGATATTTATCCGTATAGGGACAGTTAAAAGATATTTACCAGAATGAGGATGGTTGAAAGATATTTACGCATGAAAACAATTTACCAGTATGACATATGAGGACGGATGAAAGATTTTTCAGTATGAGGACGACTGAAAGATATTTACCAGTATGAGGACGGTTGAAGGATATTTATCAGTATAGGGACGGATGAAAGATATTTACCATTATGAGGATGGTTGAAAGATATTTACCAATATGAGGAGTGAGGACGGATGAAAGATATTTACCAATATGAGGAGTGAGGACGGATGAAAGATATTTACCAATATGAGGACGGTTGAAAGATATTTACCAGTATGAGGACGGTTGGAAGATATTTACCAGTATGAGGACGGATGAAAGATATTTACCAGTATGACTTATGAGGATGGTTGAAAGATATTTACCAGTATGAGGACGGTTGAAGGATAAGGACGGATCTGAAAGAACTCTTGCTCCGGACATACTATAGCTTCTTGTAGATACTCGAGCCCTGTGAGGGGAAAAAAAAAGTATGAAAGAAACGGATTTCAACACCAACAAAAGCAAGAATTTGACCAAAATTCTTCTCTTAATAGTTTTCTATTTTACTGAAATAATAAGTAAAACAAATTTTATTAATCTTTCATTAGTCAACAGTTGAGATTTGGGTTTTGTTTTGCATATTGGATTCAGATCTTAAGCATTAATTTTGTAGGATCATGTGGAAGTAACATACCCAGTTGATCTCTGTGGTGTACTGGTCTGATATTGTTGTTGTAGTTGTTGGTTGGATCCAGCAAAAAGGCGTCGTTTACTAGGAGTTGCCAGAATATCCAGCTGATTGTAGGATCGTCCAAGAGAATCCAATCCGTGCGTAGATTGTCCCATTGCGTCAATTCTGTGGGACGATCGTCCCATCGAGTCAATCCGTTGTGAAGATCGTCCGATATAATCGATCCTGTTGGAAGATCGAGAGTATTGTTTACCACTAGCAGGGGAGCCGGTCAATCTAAACAAATCAATTAATCATTATTTCTCCCACATAACCTAGCCTACAGGACTTGATAGTGATACTTTAACTGTAGCCTGTATGGGAGTGCAAGTTGAATGTTAATAATAATAATAATAATATATTTTCCTCTGTCTGTTGTCTAAAGAAATACAACTATCAACTAGTAGACCTACACTTGTTTAAAAACCTTTAATCCTATTTACAAGTGTTAAACTCATGAGAAAACTGATGTCATTATGCGAACTCACACAAGAAAAAAATATAAGAGAGAGAAATAAATACTCCTTTATCTGAACCTGTATCCTGGATGTCTACTCCTATATCTGAACCTGTATCCTGGATGTCTGCTCCTATATCTAAACCTGTATCCTGGATGTCTACTCCTATATCTAAACCTGTATCCAGGATGTCTACTCCTATATCTGAACCTGTATCCAGGATGTCTACTCCTATATCTGAACCTGTATCCTGGATGTCTACTCCTATATGTAGAATGTCCATCTTCTGCACTGTCTTCAGTAAACACTGAATCCTCATCCCCATACAGATCAATCAACTCCTGAGAACACAATTATATTCTTATTCTTTAATGAATGTATTATTTTCAAATTTTTAATGAATATTTTTTTTGGGATAGATATCTAATTTCTTTTATTGTAAACTTGTTTTTTAAATCTCATGCTATATTCGTTTCATTTTTGTTAAAAGATTTGCGTCTTTGCATTTACTTTTTTTTCAAAAATTGTTTCTTATTTATTTATCTTCTTGTTTTTATATTGGCTTGTATTCTTTATTTTTATTAATTTGCCTTTTCATTTATTTAATTGTATCATAAAATAGTTTCTTTGATATATTTTCAAAGATCCGTGAACTGACCTGACTGCCTAAACTATCATAGTATGATCCGTTCTGGGAAGCGTATCCGTATCTATGCATCATCATAGACTCATGGCTCAGGTAGGTAGAAATTGTATCTTAAACATACAAAAACTTTAACTTTTTATCAAATATTTCGCAATTTTCGTCGCGATAGAAATAACATTACTCGAATATATATTTGAAACCTGAGTGGAATTTCCAAGGCTTAGGCGGTATTGCAGGGCCCTCGGCACCGGCTAAGCTTAGGAATCCAAGGTTTCAAAGATATAAGGATTGGAAATTTAGAGTTTAAGGCAAGTTTTTTCTCCACAAAACCCACAAATAGGAACGGTTTTTAAAACAACCTACGCATCTTACTAACGTAATCTTAGCGATGATTAAAATAATGAAAGACTTGCACAAGTAGATAAATGTTTGCCATTGAGTGACAAGTGAAAAGAGAATTGGATTAATAAAACTATTCACCTATAGATGGTCTACGAATCAGAGAACCCGTATCACTGAAGGATGAGAATGAGGAGTCCTAGAGAATACTGTATTCGAGGTAAACTGTTCAAGGGGGGGGGGGGGCTCATAAATGCTGAGAAGAGAAGAGTAAAAAAAAGAGCGGGAAAGGGGTGATAAAAAGGCCAAGGGAGCAAAAAAGTTAACAAAAAAGTTCTTATGGTTAAACTTTTTAAAATTTGAAAAAGAGGAAAGAAAAGAAGCGTAGATAAGTGAACCCTTCTTTTTGTTCATTTCATAACAATCCTTTGGTCTGATCTAGGATGAAATGAACAGAACGAGTTAAAATTTTCTTTCCCGAGAGGAGTTTAGTCAATCTCTTCATGATATAACTTTTAAGATATGACAAATGAGCGATCGGTTAACTTTAGTCAATATCGCATTAGTTAACAGTCAACACTTCAGAAGCTGACTGAGAGAGGGATCGGAAACCTCTCTTCTCTCACAGGAAATGAATATAACTCATTTCTCTACACAGAAATTATAATTTTGACAATCTGAGACAAAATTATCATTAATAGTAGCTTAAAGATTCTAGTTTTAAAAAGATAGCATATATTTCTTAAAACGTGAACTTGCTTAAACCACTTCTCTTCAACTAAAACCGACAAGAGAAGTAGCTGAACTTCGCCTACGAAGTTCAGCTACCTCTTGCTTCATTAAATCTAGTCCCTGAAATATCCCTCTAAAATATTTGTTAAATCCTGAATACTGTATATGCCTGAAAGCGTCTGTAAGGATTGGCCTGGCCTGCCTGCCGACCAGGTAGAGGAAAACTTGCTTCCGATACTGAAGGATGACCGATCCTTCGCTGCTGCTGAACCAGGGTTGTATAATCATCATACCTGCACAAACAATATTAAACTTATAGAATAAACTAGTTTGGAAACCCAGATTTGCCAGGAAAATAAGCTTTCTCAAAAAAAGCTAAGAACATTCCCGTGGATCTATCGAGTTCCCCTATCAAAATGTGAGTCAAATCGATCAAGTCAAGGGGATCATGAATTATGATTTGAAACACACAAACAGATTACTACTTTATATAATAGATGCAGGTTTATCTTGTTTGTCTGAATTAGAAACTTTTATCTTGAACCTATGACGGTTCCTGTCCCTTACGGTTCAACCTCAGACATTCGATTCCTTCCTTTAGGGGCCCAGAAACCTCATTCCCCGATACAGGCAGATAAGCACTTTCATTTTAAAATAAACCAAAGGGATACTAAGTTAATTCTCAAAAGTTCAGCGCTGTCCCTTACAGTTAGTTTCGGAGGTTGGATTTTTGGCGTAAAGTATTGGTAATCGTAAACGCTTGTTTTCGATATCCAATGTGGGTAGATCTGCATAAGATGGAGATCAATGCTTGATACCAAGATTCATAAGAATTCAGATCTAACCAGTCTTGAAACCAAGAAAAGGAGCCTAGATTGGAAAAACAAAAAACAAATTTGAATAAACAAATTTTTTTGAATAAATTCTAAATTAATGTTTACGTTCGTTTTGCACAATTAATAAAAATCTCTGGATAATCTTTAACTAAATATATACTCCCTTCCCCTATACTTCCTCACCACCTCCTTACCTTTTCCTGATTTATCATCATTATTATGTTTTAAATGTACACTGTACAGTGTAACCGTAAACTGTACAGTACACACTGTATTTATTTACAATTCTAATTCGCTTATAATGGGCCAACCAATTAAAACAACTAACTCTGGTTAGGAAGATCTAAACTACATAGTAAATTGTGATTTTTTTCATTTGTATTATCTCGTGTTTTCTAGCTGAATAAAATATGAAATAAAATGAAATTAATCAGATTCTACCTTCTAGCCGGGTTCTCTCTAGTTTTACTTCTGATCTGGTCGGAGTAGTTAGGGTTGGCTAAACCTGGAGCAGACATTCGTCTCTCCCGACCCGTCCTACCTTCTCTAGCAGCCTTACTTATCTCATCCTTAACCAACCAACCAACCAACCAACCAACCAACCAACCAACCAACCATCCGACCATTCCACCAACCGTTAACAAACAAACAAACCAATTCAGGAAGCCAACAAAAAAAATCTCAAGTTTGAAGTTTCCTTGTGATCTTTAGTCCCAAACATGAAGTTTTTATGTTCCTTCCCCAGTAGAGTGTTCACAATATTCTTCATCGTTTTAGCACCTAAAATCAAGTCAAATTTAGAAAACCAGAATTTTCCAACTTTTACAAAAATAAAGATTCATTTTTATTTCTGAATTGTATAAGGGATTATAAACTGTACTTCCAAGTGACATGTTTGATTCACAACGGTATTATTTATACTATATTTGAGCAACAATAAGGAAGATATCGTCGTTATTCTATCTAACTAAGTGTTGAATTCTGATATTTTTCTCAATTGTTTCTGCAAATAAATAAATTTCAGGTTGATAAATAAGGATATTAAGGATCATTTAAAATTCGGTGATGGACCAAACCTCTGAAGAGTAAAAAAAAATAGATGTTAGTTCCACAATTATTGAAAATATATTTCGGTCTCGGTTGACCCTCGTCAGTTCTGGAGATTGTTGCTGTCACAAAGGTTAAAAACAAACTTACGTCTACACTCTACAATCTACACTCTCCAGTCCCTTTAAAAGAAAATTGTTAACCTTTTATATCAATGATTCCCCTGTCTTTACTTTTACTTCTTTTGTTGTGTTTATTCGCTCTGTTCCTTCTCTCCACCTCCTCCTCCGCCAACCTCCGCCGTTCCTCCCGCCTTCCAACCATCGCCGCTATCTCCGCCTTTGGAACATCAATCAGTAAAAAAATAAATTTTAAATAATAACAATAATAAAATCCCAAGAATTTTCTGTGAGAGTATTTCTGCGTTCTACATCTTTTTCCTGGTTGAAAATGTAAAAAATAACAATCAGCAAGCTAGGATTGTTACTAGAAAAATAACAATCAGCAAGCTAGGATTGTTACTAGAAAAATAACAATCAGCAAGCTAGGATTGTTCCTAGAAAAGAGGCACAGGGCGTCCTGATAAACAAGTTTACCTGTGTGAGTTTAACCATTGGATAAGATGCCTGATGTATTCTTCTCATAGGTCGTACAAACCCTGTAGTTTTACGCACCTACAAAAACATTAAATCGTCAGGGATGCATAGTTTCTTTATCTCGAAATAGAAAACTTTATTTTTATTGACTTTAGTGAACCTCAAGGAAATATATAATATCTTCCAAATTAGCTGAAATCGACATATCTTAACTATATTTGTCAGTACTCTCAATGATATATATTTTGCCCAGATGCTTTTAAAATTATCTATATCCCCACTATGTTAGGGGTGTTTGCGCGGAACGGTCAAAATTTGAACTAAAGGAATCAAATGATCTAAAGACAGTTAAAATGTATTATTTATCAAAAGGAGGGAAAACCTGATGTCCAAATCTTGTTTTCGCCTAAAATCTTGTGAAAACATAAACCGGTGTACTGCTGCCTATACCTGTGTGAGATTACAGAAGTTCATGATATAAGGACAGCCAGGGAAGAATGTTGAAATATCTATTGTCTGTTCTCCTTTACTCCAGGAATCCTCAAGAACAACCTGAACCTCCATATCATAGGTGTGCCAGTCTCCTAGAAACATACATGTTTAAAAAATGTACTGGGACCCATAAAAAAAGAGAATAGGAAGACGACTTATTGAATGTAGAAGCGATTTAAAATTGTGCAGTGAATACAGACCCATTTCAGATATACGGAGTGTATATTTTCTTAATAAATCATCACCACCCCCACCTAACCCCGGGGGGGTTCGGTATATTTTTTTAGTTTTATAACTTGTCGGCTAATAAGTATGAAAAAGAATAAAGAACACTTACCTATTGATGTCAAATATTTCAGTTTTTACTCAGGTCTTCCACCCCCCCCCCCCTCACCACGAGTAGGGTGGGTAGGGTAATTCTTAAAAATATACACCCCTGACTATTTTCTTTATAGACATTAAATACATTAAATACACATAAGATTTCTTATGCTTAAATTCCGGTTTCTGTTCTACGTACGGCAGCGAGAATCTATGTCTATATGTGTGTCTTTTGTAGATCGGATTTTTTGTCTTTATATTTCTTCCTATGGTTGTTCACTCGTCTACTGTCTACCTGGAGTTTCTCCGCTCCACTCCCACTTAGCTCCCTTGCCAGCCGGTGAGGTATGTGGATAGAACTCCCTCCTAACTGTATACTTAGCGCCAGTAGGTTCACAACACTGGGCATTCGTTTATTCTATCTCTCATCCAATTTACAAGGGCCTTGAGACAAAATTCAAGAGACCCTCTTTAAATTGAGTGCATTTCCAATTCACAATGAGGTTCTCTAAACCATTGACTGGAAAATTACTGATTTATAAGTTCTCTGTTTCTTTAAACCATTGACTTGAAAATTAATGATTTTTAAGTTCTCTGTTTCTTTAAACCTTTGACTGGAAAATTAATGATTTATAAGTTCTCTGTTTCTTTTCGACAAAAAAAACGACGATATCTTCTTCACTCTGAATCCAATAAAGAAATAAAGGGTATCATTGTGAATCGGACATGACACGATTTGAATTGTAGAAAGAATTTCCAAGATTTAGAAATTCCATCGAATAGTTCATATTCCCCAAAACATTTGTTTTTAGATTTAGAATATTCCTGCTCGAACGTTGTCATATTTACATAGAAATCCGCCAAAAGTGGTTCCGCGTCCTAGAAAAATATTAATAAACATTAAATTATGAGCCACAAACAATAAAATTTCTTTTTCTACTAAACAACATAATTATTTTTATATTGGCGTTTCAAAAACAATTATTTTAGGAGCAATAATGATAAATTATGAAACAATTTAATTCAAAATATGAAAATAGACCATCCTCGAAAATTCTTCATAATTTCTAAAGTTAAAGGATGTGAGTCATATTTAATTTTAAAAATGTTACAATAGTAATAAACAAAATGGGAACTCGAGTAGCATCTACCTTGAGATAAATCCTGTTTAGTTTCTTGTTGTGAGCACGTTCAAGGAGTTGGGTCACTTCCGGGCTATACGGCCGCCATCTTAAAATTACTTTTTTTGAAAAACCTGAATTTGAATTTTAACAGACATCTCATCCAAGTTTATTCGTTATAACCTATATTTCATTTTAAAGATAAAAATTTGTTTTAATAGAAGGATGAATTCGATTTTCTGTACGTTTAATTACTATATTTTTTTTATTTTTGAAAAATATAACCTGTTTGGCCGATTTTCCCATTCCCAAACGACCACATAACTGCCATTGGCGGATATTGCCGACATGGCCGACATTTTATTCAGTTCAGATTATCTTCTTGATTTCATTTTAATCCATTTTATTCTGACAATATGAATCTAATAATATCATGACATAACAAAATTTAAAAATAAAATTTAAAAATACTATCTTAGAAAACTTAACAACGCTTGAATTCGGACAATGCCCGTGAGAAAAATGATTTTAAAATTTCGTTTCTGCCAATCCAGATTATACTGAAGATGATTTCGCCATTGCTGATTCATAAACTCACGGTAAAATTCTAAACAAAGAAAATCATTATTTTCATCAGAATTATTTATTATTTTAAAAGACTTTTCTTATTTTTGAAATAAGTATTGGCATTTATATTTGCAGTGTTTAGGGTCCGTTACATTTTGCCGCGGCTCCGGATGTATAATATTATAAGAGAAAAACATTTTTTTATGGATCCGGATCTAGGTAGCTAAAATGTCACGGATCCAATGGATTCTAATCTAGGGTGCTAAAATGTCACGGATCCAATGGATTCGTTAAAAAATATGTATTTCATCACGGTTGCATTTTATTCCAGATGCTTTAATAAATGGACTGTAAACGTAATTTGAAGAGATCTTTTATTTAAAAAAATATATTAAATCAAATCAAATCAAATCAAATCAAATCAAATCAAATCAAATCAAATCAAATCAAATCAAATCAAATCATATCAAATCAAGAAGTGAAGCATAGTCCAGCAGAACCTTAGTGTAATAGAGGTACGCCATCACGATCCCTACCAAACCAAAACCAGGGGGTTAAGCCTGACGCAGGCATAAACGACCTTGATTTCAGTCTGTTCATAATAAAACTACAACTAATATAAACTTTAACCTGACATTTCCTCGCTAGTTAACGTCTTTTTATCCTTCTCTGTTGGATATTTAACTGCAAGAAGGTTATTGATGAACTTCTCCCTGCCCTGCTTGAAGGCAGTGTTGTGCTCCACCCAGAACTCCTGGTTAAACATCTGGGTCTCCTGTCTCACCAGACGGAGTTTCACCTGCAAATATTTTTTATAAAAATTATCATCACTTCCCCCCACAAACCC